ACAGAGCAGAAAATGAAGAAAGACATAAAAGAATCTCAGCTCAAGGAGGTCAGATCCATCACAGACTTAGCGTTGCCTTCAAAGATGCCTGGGACAGGTGGCAGTTCAAGACAATCAGAGGAGAAGCATCCGCTAATGCTGAGATAAGGGATTCTCAGGGAATCCTGCTATCTGGTCCCTGTTTGCTTTGATGTAACTCTGCTAGAGAAGACTTCTGGGAGCAGGCTGCTGCCGTGCTCTCGGGATGGGCTGCTGGTCTTGAGCCTTTAAAGGTCTCATTACAGTGGTCCTTGAGGATTAATCGTATCTCAGGTTCACATGGGAATGGATTGGTCTGAAGGACCAGTGCAGGGATCTTGGCACCACCTGCACAAAACATTATTATTGTCCATTCTTCTCTTCACCTCCTCCCTTTGTCTCCCCCATATTATTGGTATGTGATAGAAAGTTAAATCTCAATCATCTTGGCGTTTCTGCTTCCCTCTTTGGCTTTGACTGAGGTTTTTTTTGTTGAGCACAGCTTGAATGGTCACCAAACCATTAGCAGTGAATTGGTGGCTTCCGGTAACTGGACTTACTTAGCCTGCTGCTTTTGGCAGGTTTTTTGTTTTCTTTCCACTTTCTGTCCTTCTATATCACGCCTGGGCAATTGAAGACCACAAAGCTATGATGCTATATGACTGCAGTATTAAATATGTTTTCTGACCGAGCTTGTTCAGGACTGGATTTAATGTTAGAACAGTTTTTAAAGCACACAGTTGTCTCAGTCCCCATGTAGTTACACTCAACTGTTGTGTATAATTAGATGCCCAAGGCAGTGGACTGAAATGTGCATCCACATTGCTAACTATATCTCTGTCTACAACTTGCAGTTTACATGAGAGTTGTATTGGATGTTTTTCTTTCAATTGCACATCACTTTGCAAGTGTGCATCTGCATCCAAACTGTGAGTTTGATTTTTCTGTGCATCAAGGGAATCTGTGTGCCAAACCACCTTCTGTACATTTGAATCTCTTTTGCTGGATCTGACCAGTTATAAGTTATTTCCTTATTCATTTTGCATGCGTGAGAAAAAAAGAACACATGGAATATTCACATGGGGCTTGCTGACTTTGATGAAAATGCAGTGTTTGTTCAATGTTGCAAATAATTGAGTGTCTATTTAATTTGTTTGTTCTCCAAGTGTTCTGATGGAATTGCCTTTTACTAGGCAGTGACATTTAAAAATGAAACTAGGTGGAAGTTATTTGTTATATTAGTTACCTAAGACCTCCTTTGGATTGCTACGCTAGAAAAGTTGTCAGTATGGGCAGTGAGGACTGCTGCATCTGAGATCCACTAGGATCTACAGAGTTGTAAACTAACTGAATAGTGCTTTTGCTGCTGAAATAGTGTTAGCAACTACAACACTGCGAACTATTAGATGGAGCAGAAACCAGTGGTGATGTGGGGGGCGGGGCAGGACTAAGGATGACTGTCCTACACATATTCCTAGAGTAATTTTAGCCACTCATAACCTGAGAGTCCTAAAGGGTTGGTTTCATGATGGGATAGAAATTTGATGCGTAATATGTAGAGAGAACTGGTAATAAAGCTAGTGTAATAGAATGGGTGCACCCGTCTTTCCCTGCACAGAATGATGCTGTCTCTATTTGCGAAAGCCATTCTGTGCTTTAGGATTGGCTGTGAAGAGGTGAACATATTATCCTGCCTCATTAACAAGGCATAAAGGAATTCATACATCATCACTGTGCAGCAAATGTAATTTTAGCTCCAAACAAACACAACACTTAAAATATAAGAAGGCCAATGTGGTTTCCAATATGTACAGAAAGGATTTGTGGGCAATACCCACCCTAAAAAAGTCATAACTTTTGCATATTTTAAATAATTCAAAGCATTCCTGTTACTGAGTAGAATAGTATTATTTTTGTGCATTTTTAGTCAGACTTAAAAATCATTTGAGTTAATCAATTTCTGCCACCAACTTGCACTAATTCATGAGTAGGATCCAAATAGGTGCTTGGGGTGCAAAAAGGAACTGGTATTAGTCCAGTGAATTTTATTTCCTTTTTTCTTTGATCCCCATGTACAAACTGCTTTTGAATTTTCCCTTAGTTACAATAGTAGGAATATTGTTAAAGAAAGAAAAGGAAGTCTGACTTCCTCTTGAGTTGTTTGGGTGCCAGATTACTATCACTTCATTTACTTGCCTTCAAACATTATATTGTTGAAAATGTGTCAGAAGACGTTTGCTCCTTACTGTTTAAGCAGGATTTCAGAAGCATTTGCGATAAAACATACAGAACACATTGTAATGAATGTAGACAAAATTAGAAATCCACATTATATTTCTACTCTTCCTATCCTGGGCTTACAGAGTAAACATTTTTTTAGATAATCTGTTAATCATCTCCAACAGTTGTCTCTTGTTATCATTAATATGCATGCAACATATAAAATATTGTAGCAAATTTCAATAACTTTGGTGCTTCTACAGATTTTTGTGATGGAGAAGACTTGTCGATCAGACGGTCGGTGGTTCGAATCCCCGCGATGGGATGGGCTCCCGTTGTTTGGTCCCTGCTCCTGCCAACCTAGCAGTTTGAAAGCACGACAAAGTGCAAGTAGATAAATAGGTACTGCTCCGGTGGGAAGGTAAACAACGTTTCCATGCATTGCTCTGGTTCGCCAGAAGCGGCTTAGTCCTGCTGGCCACATGACCCGGAAGCTGTACGCCGGCTCCCTCGGCCAATAAAGCGAGATGAGCGCCGCAAGCCCAGAGTCGTCCGTGACTGGACCTAATGGTCAGGGGTCCCTTTACCTTTACTAAGTAACTTACTAAATTCCCTTTCGTCTTTCTTGGTCTTCCACTTCTTTGTCTTCCACTGTGAAGAAATAAAGAATGGAGGCAAATGAGATTTTTTTCTAATGACCTACGTGAAGAACCTGGGAGATGGATAACAAAGGCAGCACCTTGCTGATGTGTTTTAATAAACATTAGTTTACAGTCTCTGGCAACAGTGGGCAAATACACGCAATTACTTGGAAAATTTCTCCAGTGTTTGTATGTATATAAATCTCTCCCTAAATCTTCCCAGCTGGGAGTTAGGCTGGTCTTCTCTTGCAGTGGAATCCAGGCTTTGTTCTCATGTTCAGCTCAGCTCAGTCTGGAATAATTCAGAAACGTATTAGATTGCTACTCCCCAAAGGCCTAATGGAATAACCTTCACTCCTAGCCTTTGGGAAATAAGCTCAAAATCAGGCAGATTTCTTGATTAAAGAAAGAACTAACTGTGCACAAATTGCTGCATAACAATTTGTGAAGCATTTGTGTTAGAAATGTAGTGGATACAGAAGACTGATACACATTTTTCTGTTATTCCCTAATCAGGATTTTAAAAAAATGTGTTTTTACATTCTTTTGGTAACCATTGGTGGATGAGTCTTGCTGCTTATGAAAATCAATGAAATGTGATATGTAACCCATGGTTTAAGCACACACAATTTAATATCCATTGTGTAGTGCTGGAACAGAGCAGTATAACTATGCTGTCAATTTTTATTTTGGTATTTTTTTTAATGTGTGCAACAAAGAAATGGAAGTGATTGCACGTAATGTAGTTGCGACTACAGGTGTTTTCTAGTCAAATTATTCAATAAATCAAAATCAGGCCTCTTGCTGTAGGTATTGTTTAGAATTGGATATTTAAAAGATTGTCAGTAGTTTTCCTTTGATTGAACAAGACACTCCCGTCAGGCAAGAAACATGTTGTATTTTGATGAATGGTTGCGTTAGGAGACCAAGTCTAGGGACATAGCAAATAGCAGTCCATATTGTACTTAACATCCATTTTTTAAAAAACTTGAAAGCTTATATGCATAAATGAAAGAAGTCTTAAATATCCTTTCAAGCTCTTAACTGCTTACCCGAAACTGTAGCTCTGTAACGGCATACAGTCTCCCCTCTGTAGTAAAGAATATATGCAACTTGTGTTTGTTGGCCTGGAACTGATTATCTCTTTAGTTAATTAGTTCTCAGCCCCAAAGTAGCCTAGCCACACAGGACGTAGTTCTGTATAGTTTGTCCATAATGGCTGGGAATTTTAGGTTTCAGCATTCTTGGGAATAAAATGAAATTGCAGACCATGAGCAGCTCCTTCATGTCTACCAGAAAAACTCTCCAGTCCTAATACTTTTCCAAAACCAGACGAATTACATGGGAACAAGAGATAAGAGGATTAGGCTTTCTAGATACCCAGCAACATCTCCAGGGCCTTTTTTCATGTTTTCTTCTTGGGGCTTCTTGGCTAAGCGCATAAGAATGACAGGAACCTTTGGTGTCAGTGGGAACACATCTGAGCTGATCAAATATTCTACGCTTCTTCCCTCTTAAACGTGAAATAGAGACCCAGAACAAAATGTTGTGAGGGTTGCAAGGTTGATGCTGAAAATGGCAACCCCACTCTTCCCTCTCCTGCTGCTGTCTGGTAATACAAAATGTGAAGCATAATAATTCCTCTGAGTTTCCTTATCCTCTCTTCACCACTGGGGCAGGGAAACCCAAAGGATCTTGAGACCATATTGTGCGTTTCGTATTGCCAGATATCTCCAGAGGACAAAGGAAGCAATACTGGGCTGCCATTTTCAGTGGCAGTCACACATTTCTCATGGGTAAGCTAAAAACATGACAAAAAGTCTAGATTGCAGATCTCATGAGGAAAGGAACTGAATATGTTTAATATGGACTTAAAAAATCAAACGGCACAGAACATTTGTTGACTTACTTTTATTAAGGATGTTGTGATTACTAAGACCCAGCAAGGATTTCTCAAAAATAGGTAATAGCACCACTCTATTCTGCCTCGGTCAGACCACAGCTAGAATACTGTGTACAATTCTGGGCGCCACAGTTTAAGAATATTGACAAGCTGGTACGTGTGCAGAGGAGGGAAACCAGGATGATAAAGGGTCAGGAGACCAAGCCTAGTGAAGAACGGTTGAAGGAGCTGCGTATGTTCAGCCTGGAAAAGAGGAGACTGAGAGGAAATATGATAGACATCTTCAAATATCTCAAGGGCTGTCACATGGAAGAGGGAACAAGCTTGTTTTCTCCTGCTCTGGCACCAGTGGCTTCAAGTTACAAGAAAGGAGATTTTGACTAAACATCGGGAAAAGCTTTCTGATAGTAAGAGTTTTCCGACAGTGGAATGGCCTCCCTTGGAGGTTTTTAAGCAGAGGTTGGGCAGTCTTCTGTAATGGATGCTTTAGCTGAGATTCCTGCATTGCAGAGGGTTGGACTGCTTGACCCTTGGGGTTCATTTCCAACTCTACAGCTCTATGATTCTGTCATTATTGGAGTTGTTGTTCTCATCACCATCACCCTCATAATCAAAATAATGGAAGAAATAATAGTTCTTCTAAGTCATGGGTAGGCAAACTAAGGCCCGGGGACCGGATCCGGCCCAATCGCCTTCTAAATCCAGTCCGCAGACGGTCCAGGAATCAGTGTGTTTTTACATGAGTAGAATGTGCCCTTTTATTTAAAATGCACCTCTGGGCTATTTGTGGGGCACAGGAATTCGTTCATTTTTCTCTCTCCAAAATATAGTCCAGCCCCCCACATGGTCTGAGGGACGGTGGACCGGCCCCCTGCTGAAAACGTTTGCTGACCCCTGCTCTAAGCTGTTTCTAGGAAGTTCTGACTCTTCCTTGCATCTGCGGCTCCCGCAACATCTCCTGCCCCATTTCCAAAGTTTCCCTAAACCCTCAAGCAGATCTTGAGGATGGGGGCATGGGGCAGTTGCAGAGGGAAGAGGGAGGGAGGGAATTCCTATTTCGGAAATAATGTGTTTTGTTCATGGAAGGGAAATTGGGATCCAAGCTGTGGTGATGCTGCCTCAAATTGCTAGACTTTAAAAGTAACTCCGACCTTGTGCACGGTCTTGTATTATATGGATAAGAAACACATTAGGAGGAAGGGGAAAGAAAAGTAGAAATAGTTGTTGTTTTTAAAGTCAGCCAGGATAAAACAAAGTGACCAGATATTTTATAAGGAGATATTTTAATTTTTTTAAAAAACAACATGAGAAGAGTTTGATCCTGGGTAGAGGGGCTTTACAGTGATGGGAAAGGAATTTAGACAGGAAACAGAGAGGATAAACATGGCTGATCTAGAAGGCTTGTCTATACGGAGTGAAGGTCCAAGGAAGAACAGAGAGACTGAGCAGAAGAAAAGATAGATATAAAGGGGCAAGACCCTGGAGATATTTGAAAGTAAGTGCAAGAATCTTAAATTGGAGACCTAAAGTGAGAAGGAGCCATTGAAGAGAGCAGCACAAAGGAGTCATATGATTGGAATGACAAGTAGAAAATATCAAATAGTATGTATTCAAAAAACCCTTGGATAAGAGGAGATACAATTGCTTATCTGCAGGCATTAACTCACTAGGTGGTTCTCATAGGCAAACCTTTGCTCCTTGACCCAGCAGCGCTTATTTAATGACCTGTTTTTAAAATGTGCATATTGCTTTTCAATAGACTTCAAAGTGGCTGCGCACAGTTTTTAAAACCAACAACTTCATATGAAAATAATAATATTGAGCTGCTTTAAAGGCAGCTGTGTATGTGAAGCTCTCTGAACTCTCTAAAGACCTGTATCAGTTGTTGCCCCTAGCAGAACGCCTTTGTTGTGTGCCTGATGAGAACTTGCACGTGCCCTTATAGAGAAACATTGCCATAACTGTGGTTTAGCTGTCGCTGGGGACAGAATCTACCCAGTCTTGGGACTCAGCAATCAAAATGCATCATTTCTAAGTCTCTGAAATCATTTATCCTTATAAGCTTTTTCATTTCTGCTAATATTTCTGAATGCTTGAAAATCTCTTGCAACTGCAGCCTGTTGCTGTACAAGGTTGCTTATCCAAGGAAAGCTCACGCCATGTCAGATCCTGAGGTGTTTGTTGTTTATGGAGGTTTCAATTAGCATCTGAGTGATGTCACTGGCAAACCTTTCTTCTCCATGCAGTTACCTGAGATGCTTGATGCCAACATGTAAAACTGCTTGTCGGCTGAAAGGTTCTGTCATACAGTTCTGTGTGTATCGTTTGGGTGCCTCTGCAAGGCTGACAGGAAAGCCATGCATTCAAGTGTGCCCTTCAAATATACAAGATTGTGTTCTGTGAAACCTTGACACTTATTGGTGCATAATTGGAAGTATTGAGTAGGACAGGTACGTTTCTGGTATGAGGTTTGTTTTAAACATCACGTGTAAGTTGTTTCTTTTTACTTCTCTAGTCTGAAGTTCACAGATAAAACTATATCAGTCCTTTCAGGGCTCCCATTTCTATATTTTAAAAAAAGACCAAATTTTATACATGCACACCATTCAAAATTGTTGGAATGTTGTATTTGAGTATATATAGCTGAGTACCAAAATTATTAGTAAGATCGAACAACTGTGAAGAAAGTGTCACTCTGTAAAATGTCTGGAGGATGGTCTTGTCCTGGTGCCTTTGCAGCCTCAAAAATAAATGTTCCAACAGGTACTAGAGGTGGAGATCTGTGGGCAAGGTGATAGCTGCCAGTCCTTGGGCAGAATATGGCCTGTGGAAGGCAGGTTTTAGTGCCCTGCATAGCTCATTGCCTCACGCCACGGTTAGCCAAACCAGAATAAAACACGCAGAATAAGAATTATTATGTAAATTTGCATGATTTAGCCAGGGAGCAGAATCTAGTATCCAAAATTTTAACTGCAGGTGTAATTGCTGGTAGCTGCAGACACATCCCATGCTGTGTCCAGGTTAGTTGGAAGCACTGGGAATTAAACAGGGTGAGGGGAGAGACTTACAAAATGCATTTTGAGTTGATTGAATTGAGAAATAAATACAGAAGAGAGCCCGCTTCCTTCTTGGACTAAGTATTATGATAAGTAGGTTATGAATGGAAAAGGATAAGTGTCCTGGCATTTCTAAATAAGTTGTTCACAGTTAACCTTCTTTATTGGAGAAAAGTAGGTTCATGAGCCCAGAGTTGGACATCAGTGAGAAAAAGGAGTTCAAAAATCTTGTTACTACTTTAGTGTGAAATCTCAGCCCTGTGCTGCTGTCAGTTGGCACTTTCTGATTAATTTTAACTTGATCAGCATTTCACCCTTAAATAAATATGAAGGCTAAATTTCCCAGTAATTAGAAAATATTTGAAAGCAACTATTGATTTTTCTCTTTACTTCTCCTGCTGCTCTTAATTCAGTTGCCTTTTCTTTCTGATCAGAATCATGCTGCTTCACAAAGAAGCTTTACAGACATGTGCAAAAAACTGCAGAAAACAAATGTGTTTGAAAAAACATTTATTTATTTAAATTGCTTGCTTATTTATTTATTTATTTATAATGTGTAAATTACTGCACGTCATGACCTCTTCTTGAGTTGGCACCTGGTCCAAGCCCAGATCTGTTGTTGTGCAATATGTGGCATCATCCTAAAGTTACAATCCTATCTATACCGACTTATCTGGGATTAAGTCCCACTAAACTCAAATGGACTTACTTTTGAAAAGACACCCATAAGAATGCACTGCACATTATAGGTTGGAGCTAGACTAAGGCGGCAGTCCTAGGCCGCCATTTAAATTCTGTGAATAAATTTAGGATAGTGCAGTAAACATGCTTATAGTAAACAAGTTTAGGATCATTCTGCAAGACCCTGAAGAGGCGGCTGTGTAGTAGGTATATCTTACTTTTTGCAATAGGGAAGAGAAGGCGGTACTTTCTTAGCTCCCCCCACCCCATCCTAGTTACTAAGGGAGAGGAAAGTACTGTACTGATTATATATCTATAAGTCATTGGCTTTTAAAATGGATCCTCCTGTTCTTATTTGTTTTCTAGCACAACAGCTGATGCATGTAAGAAATGATGTAAACTGATTTCACTGGTGCAAAAGAGTGGCAGTTTAGGAAGCTGGTGTCCTGAACTAAATATCAGTTTTGCAGATGAAGCCAATAACTGATGGAAATAAATGCATTCAAAAAATCACGATGCCTCTTTAATGAATTAGGTGCCAAGGTTTCTTTAAAAATAAAATTGTAATGTTCTGTGTGTTTTTCTCCCCCAGATTCGGCCCCTGCTTTGAATTCTATAAAGTACTGTAAGTAAACTTTTTTTTGTACTTGATTTGTTATAGTGAACATTCATTTTCAATTATACTTTGTTTTGTTATGTTTGAATGTCATCTGCCATAAAATATATTTGAAATAAAAATGTGCAAACACTCCAGGGAAATGCTCCAGTTTTAGCTAAACTGCTTGCCCCCCCCCACCCCCGTGCCTGAATTATTTTGTCTGAGGAGGAACTCCCCAAATTATTTTGAAATCAGCTTTAGCTGATATATCTTTGGCAGTTGTAAACTTGAAACAAATGCTAGTTGAGACATCTGATGCAGTGCCCTTTGAGGAGTGAGATGAAGGCTGTCCTGCCTGAACGGAGCATCAGAACAAAAGCCTTAAGTGAATATTTTACCTTTACTGTCTCTGTTTCTTCCCATCACAAATGCTCCTGGAGAGCTTCAGCTGATCAGAGTGAAAACAATACCAGGCTTGATGTTGGATTCCATATAAGGGGGCTTTGTAGAGCTTATGACTCATGGGCAACCTCTGGATTTATTCCTGACCCTATGAAGCTGCCTTGTATAAACATCCATCCAGACCAGGCGTTGGGATAACCAGGCCCAGGGTTCTGATATGGCCCTCTAGCTTCTCTGTCTGGCCCTCAGGTCTCTGCCCAGGCCAAACCCTTCACTGTCCTTGCTCCATACTCTCCTCCAGTGTTTTTGACTGCCTGGAATGTATGTACTTCCTTCCTTCCTTCGCCAAACCTTAATTAGGCATTACAAATATAAAGGTAAAGGGTAAAGGACCCCTGACAATTAAGTCCAGTCGTGGCCGACTCTGGGGTTGCGGCGCTCATCTCGCTTTATTGGCTGAGGGAGCCGGCATACAGCTTCTGGGTCATGTGGCCAGCATGACCAAGCCGCTTCTGGTGAACCAGAGCAGTGCACGGAAACGCCGTTTACCTTCCCACCGGAGCTATTTATCTACTTGCACTTTGATGTGCTTTCGAACTGCTAGGTTGGCAGGAGCAGGGACCGAGCAAGGGAGCTCACCCCGTCGTGGGGATTCGA